ATGACAAGGCGGTCGGTTCAACGTGCGATGCGGCTGCGAGTCGCGTGTTCGAGTATCTTTCATCACTGGAGCTCATAGCGCGCACTCCTTGCGTACATGTATCTACGACTACCCTCGTCTTGGAGTAGCTTTTAGTATTATAATTCGAATAACATGAAAATTGACTTTTGTTCAACTAATTCGACAGGCTTCAAAAATTAACTTAAAGAAAGATTCAAACGATGTCTGCACACGCGAACTTTTGTCTCTCAGAAACTTACTCCATAAATTCATGTTATAAGTGATTTTCCAAGGAAAACACAGCCTTGCAGCTCCAGGCAAATCTGGGCCTATGGGGCTCTTATGTGGAAAATAGTCTTGAGGCCCTAAATAAGACTCTGCCCAAACGGCAGCTTAGATAGCGCGCTCACGGCTAAGACACTGGTCTCCAAACTATCCCCCGCAATCGTATTTGCATGGAGTCATGGCTCGGCACATCAGTTCCGCGTGGGTCCTCGCAATATCTAAGCCGTGAGTGAACTATTTGAGCTGCCGCTCGGGCAGAGTCTTATTTAGGGCCTCGAGATTGCTTTCCACGTGAGAGCCTTATAGGTCCATTTGCCTGGACGCTGCTTTTAAATATGGTAAGTCATGATATAATCAAACTGGAGAAGATGCGTATAGTATACTTGCAAAATCTTATACGATTATCGAGACAACGACTCAAAGTTCACTAATAAAAGTATTTAACAGAATTTCCGCTGGGGAACCTTCAGCAATGCCGAGAGCCTTTGCAGGAATTTTGGAGCACATTTGACCTCAATCCATAGTGCTGATGAGAATCATTTTGTAGCCGGTTAATCAACTTTGCCATCAACAATTTTCAACATAATCTGACTTGTGTTTCAGAATTGGCAGAGACGGGACTTGAATTTCCTTCCAATGAGGCACATGAACGTGCGACGTGGATAGGTTTGAGACGGGCTGACGACTCAAAAGGGGATTGGCTTTGGACAGACGGGACAAAAGTTGACTTTTTAGCGTGGAGCCCGAATGAACCGAATGACTCGAGTGGAAATGAACGCTGTGTGGAGGTACACTTCATCAGTTATACAAGTAAACTCAAAGTCAACGCAAGTAATGTTTTTCGGAGTGAGAACTGTATGCCAAACCTACGCAGTTCATGCAACGTTAGAATTGCTGGTATCTAAAGACATTGCTTTTTAGCTAGATACAAAGGGTTACAGCCAAAGAAATTTCTTATTTGTTATTTTCCTTTTTTGAGTTGATTTTCGAAAAAGCTCTGTTTCTTGACAACCAAACATGCTGATGCGAGCACGTAGATCACTTAGATCGTCAATATCAAAGGGCTTTCGATATGGAAAGTTTTCGCATTCCAAAAGTGCGGAGGATGTAACGTCCCCTTACTTAAGTTCTCAAGTTTTCTACAAAAAACAAAATGTATGAATCTGTGTTTTCAAAACTCAACTAAGTTAGGCCTTATGAGGATTGGTTTTCCTTTTACTTACAAAACACAATTGGCTCCATCATTAAAGGCAGTGGACAGGCAAAATCGACCCTTTTCGGATTTTGATGGAGTTGGGTAGTAGCCCCCAAGGTGCACCGTAGCTGTCAATTCATACGTTAAGTCCTAAAAAATGCGCTTCAAAACTTTACCAGCTCCGCCCTCTTCCATTGAATGGGCGTGAAGTTGGGTGAAGTTTTGACGCACATTTTTCGGGACATAGCGCATGAATTGACAGATGGGGTTTGGGCTACGATGTATCTTGGGGGGGGGGGTCTACTCTTAACCTC